ACAACAACATAACCAGTATCGTCCCACAAGTGGGGTCTGGGATGAGTAGAGTGTACGCAGACCTTACCCTTGCTTTTAAGAAGACAGATAGTATGTTTCCGATAAACTCTCGGCTCAGGAAGATAAAGGGTAGGGGCAATAACAAGCAAACCAATGTGACAACCGAAGCGAAAATACAAAACTAACACTAAGTAATGCAATCAGTAAACCGAAACAAAAGCCGCAACAAGTAATAACATAAGTCTACAGATATGAAAATACGTGAAAGACACTAAGTGATGTATTAAAGCTACTGTTACAAACAAGTACAGTGCTCGGCTACCTAGCCCTTTACCTTTATTCTCAACCTCCATATCTTCATATCCATGGTCATGTCCTCAGTAAGTTGGAGCAACGCCATATCTTGCTCAATCACCTCTCCCCAATACTTTTTCAGTCTGCCTCTACCTCTCCGTGGGCTCTCCAACGCCAATGTCACGACCCAAAACTTAGCCTATCGTGATGGCGCCTAACGTGGTACTAGGCAAGCCGACACCTCAAAACATTTTCAACACTTTTACATGAAAAATGAACTAAAGCAGGTTTAAATAATTAAAGCTCTCATAAACTGGATAGAAAGTCAAAACTCAACACAGAAGTTCCCAAAACAAGGTGTCACTGAGTACATGAGCGTCTATACAACATAAGTCTGAAATACTGCCTATGGAAAAAAACTGAAACTAAATACATAAAGCATGAAGATAGGGAAGAAGAGTCAAGGTCAGTGGACGCCGGGCAACTACCTTGAAGATCTCCAAATGACTAAGCTGCTCAGATAAGCAGCACCCACCGTGTTCGGAAATTCTTGAATCTGCACACAAAGTGCAGGGTGTAGCGTGAGTACAACCAACGCAATAAGTAACAAGACTAACGATTTGATTGAAAGTAGTGACGAGCTTCACGGGTACAGTTCAATTACAGATAATACAATACAGGAAAATAGGCATGCTTTCAAGTCTGACATTTAAAGCCAAAATAGTTAAATCATGTCAAGTTCAATTGAAACAGCATATGGCACAGCTCTGTAACTACATGACAGTCATATATATGCCAACTGATGTACAAACAGTAATGAAATCATGTGCATATTCTTAGAGTATCAGTCACTCGGTCCTCCCATTCACTCCATCCTCACGGTCACTCAATCTTCCTAATAGCTCGACACTCGCGCTCGCACTCAGTAGGTACATGCGGTCACTGTGGGTGTGCAGACTCCGGAGGAACTCCTTCAGCCCAAGCCCTATAATAAGTCAATCATGGCATTAACCAATAAAATATGTTGTGGCGTGCAACCTGATCCCATAAATATCACTCACAATCAGGCCCTCGGCCTCACTCAGTCATCATGCTCTCCAGTCTCTCGGGCTCTCAATAATCATGATAATCAGCCCTAACAGCGTTGATATAATGTATCAATAAAGAACAACAGAGACTGAGATATAATATGCAAGTAAAAACTGTGATTGAGTACAAAATGGCAATTTAGTAGATAATTCAACATGTAACACGACCTCTGTGGGTCCCTACGTACAAACACATAGCCTAAACATGATTTCTAACATGGTTTGCAGCTCAGTTCCTATAACACATGGAGAATATACGGATAACAACAAATTATTCAACTATACAGTTCCATAGAATTGACCAAGTCACAATTCCTACGGTGTACACCCACACGCCCGTCAGCTAGCATGTGCGTCACCTCAACACCAATCACATGACACGTAATTCGGGGTTTCATACCCTTAGAACCAAGTTTAGAACCGTTACTTACCTCTAACCATGCAAATCCCTACTCTAACAAGCCATTGCCTCGCGAATTAGCCTCCAAATGCCTCGAATCTAGCCACAAACAGTTCGATACAATCAACACGAGCTAAAGGAATCAATTCCATAAGAAAATACTAAGTTATTAATCAAAAGTCAAAAAGTCAACTCAAAAGCCGACCCTCGGACCCACGTCTCGAAATCCAATAAAAGTCACAAAATACGGAAGCCCATTCAACTACGAGTCTATCATACCAAATTTACCAAAATCCAACACCAAATCGTCACTCAAATCCCCAAATTAACCTCTCCAAATTCCTAGCCTCAACTCCCAAAATTACACCTCAAACCCACACAATCTAGGTGGGAAAATCACTGGGGAAACATAATTATTGAATAAATTTAAGCACAAGTGGCTTATCTCAAGAAACCCCTCGAAACTCCTCTCAAAAATCGCCTTAATCCGAGCTTGAAATGTCCAAAAATGCTAGAAATCGCGAACCCTTCAATTAATATGCACTGCCAGTGGCTCCGCTTCTGCGGTCCATTTAGCCGCTTCTGCGGCACCGCTTTTGCGATTAAAAATCCGCACCTGCGGATTTACACTCAACCCCCAACCTGTCGCTTCTGCGGCCAAGGACTCGCACATGTGAGACCGCACCTGCGGCCCCGCGTCCGGTTTTGCGCGCCCAGAGCCAAGTTCCAAATTCTGCACCTGCGACCACTATTCCGCTTTTGCAGGTGCGCTCCTCCTTCCGCACCTGTGATACACCCAAGGCCAGACCAATCTCGCTTCTGCACCACTCCAGCCGCACCTGCGACCAATCCCTTCGAAGGTGCGATCACACCAGAAGGCTCCCAGCTTCAGCAATGCTCTAAGTCTCATTTTCGATTTGTTAACCATACGAAATAAACCCGAGGCCCCCGGGACCTCAACCAAACATACCAACAAGTATAAAACACGATACGAACTTAGTCGAACCCTCAAATCACATCAAACACGAATCGCGCCCCAATTCAAGCCTAATGAAAACTAAGAGATTCCAACTTCTACAATCGATGACGAAACACATCAAATCACGTCCGATTGACCTTAAATTTTGCACACAAGTCACAAATGACACAACGGACCTACTCCAACTCCCGGAACCCCAATCCGAGCCCGGTAACCACAAAATCCACCCTCGATCAAACTTTTAAATTTCCAACTTACGCAATTTCAAGCCCAAATCAACCACGGGCCTCCAAATCACTATCAGAACACGCTTCTATGTCCAAAATCACCCAATGGAGCTAACGGAACCATCAAAACTCCATTCCAGAGCCATTTACATACAAGTCAACATCCGGTCAACCTTTTCAACTTAAACTTCCAACCTTGAGACTAAGTGTCTCAATTCATTCTGATACCTCTACGGACCCGTACCAAATACCCCGACAAGTCATAACAATAATTAAGCAGGGAATAAGTAGTAAATGGGGAAATGGGATTACAACTCTCAAAACGATCGGCCGAGTCGTTACAGCCAGCCTCTCACACCTCACTGGAGCATCAATGTCTCTCCTCTTCACATGCCCGAATCACCTAAGTATTGTCTCCCACATCTTTTCCTCCACAGGGGCCACGCCCACCTTGTCCCGGATAACTTCATTTCTAATTCTATCTAACCTGGTATGCCTGAACATCCATCTCAACATACTCATTTCAGCCACCTTCATCTTCTTGACATGGGAGTTCTTGACTTTCCAATACTCCGTCCCATATAGCATGGTCGGTCTGACCACCGCTCTATAGAATTTACCTTTATGTTTTGGTGGCGCATTCTTATCACACAGAACACGAGAAGCGTACCTCGATTTCATTCATCCCGCCCCAATATCGTATGTGATATCTTTGTCGATCTCCATATTCCTTGTATAACATACCCAAGGTACCTGAAACTTTCTCTCTTAGAGATGACTTGTGAATCAAGCCTCACGTCTCCGTCCACTTCCTAAGTCGCGCCACTGAACTTGCACTCCAAATATTCTGTTTTGGTCCTGCTTAACTTGAAACCATTAGATTCCAGGCTCTACCTCCAAACCTCTCGTTAACACCACCTCGTGTCTCGTCAATCAGTACAATGTCATCCTGCAAGTAACATGTACCCCGACATCTTCCCTTAAATGTGTCGTGTCAGCGCATCGGATCGTCAGGGCAAACAGACATGGGCTGAGGGTTGACCCCTGATGCAACCCTATCACACTGGGAAGTGTTTCGAGTCCTCACTCACTGTCCTCACCCGAGTCTTAGCTCCATCGCACATGTCCTTAATATCCCTAATGTATGCAATAGGAACGCCTCTAGCCTCCAAACATCTGCACAACACCTCCCTCAACACCTTATCATAAGCCCTCTCTAAGTATATGAACACCATATGTAAATCCCTCTTTCTCTCCCTATATTGCTCCATCAACCTCCTAACAAGGTGAATGACATCTGTAATTGAACGCTCCAGCATAAATCTGAATTGGTTCTCTGAAATAGACACAATCCACCTCACTCTCAGCTCCACCACTCTCTACCATATTTTCATAGTATGACTTAGTAACTTGATATCAGACCAAAAATATTTTTTAAATTATCCCATGACTAGGACATAAGAATAATATTTATGTTCTAAGAATTAAGACTCTTAACCACAAGCAGAATATACATAAACTTAAAATGAGTATTTTATCCAACACTTTTTATCGATAAGGAATACACAGTATGTCACCGTAGCGTCGGATATATGTTGGTAGCCTAAACCCCTGCTATATATCACATATTGATATTGTGAACAAGAATTTTTCAATAACATAATGGCCTCCACTTCGTTGATATTTAAGTTCAATGATTCTTTTATTACAAAAAATAGTAGAAAACTTCAACCACACCTCATTACCTCAAAGTAAGGGTGGCAAGTGAGCCGGTCCCGGACCTAAGTGGGCTAAGTACCGGTCCAAACGGTTCCGATCCCGGGCCGGTCCCAATTTAAACGGGCCAAACGATCCCGCTCCTGATGGTCTTTTTGTAGGAACCGATTTGGGACCGGGCCCACGAACTAATGGTCCCGGGCTAAACAATTCCGGCCCGCGGGCTAAGTGGGCCTAACTGGGCCCAACTGATACTTCTTCTTTTTTTAAATTTTATAGTCCCCGGAATCCATTCAGAGAGCAAAAACACAGCTATAAAAGGTTTATTCATCACCAAGAAAAGTTGTGACATCCAGACGGTGGACATCACACAGATATAGCTTTCTTACACTACCACAACACACGATTCACCATAATAACTCATGTGAGTATCACCCCTACATAGTAGTCTACTAGGTGATACCAAACATGCAATCCAAACAAAGAAAGAAACCATTATGATATCCAAAACACACAATCCAAATGCAACTCTAGAGTTGACTGATGACAATACTTAACATGGAGTATACTATGTTGATAGGAGTCCTGAACTCTACCATCAACACTTAGTTCCACCTCAGTTTTCCGAGCTGTAGGAGGCCTCACCAGATGATGAACTCTCTAGCTGAAGCAGCTTCATCTCTTCATAAGCCCATTCAAGACCAGGACAATAGTGGAGTGGTGGATTGAACCTGGTGTCAGAGATGTCATCTGGCAGAAAAGCACCATTTCTAATCAAGAATTTGATTGCTTTCTTCTTTCTCTCTTTAGCAGCATGATGGAGTGGAGTCCCTGAAACAAACAAAGAGACATGATGATAACAGTAATGATTTTGAAAGGAAGAAACAACATAGCCTTTTTGTTTTATTGCTAGGAAATAAAACATGCACTTACATGCACATGCACCCTTGGCTCGAGCATCGATATCAGCACCTCTCTCAAGCAATTCATCCATAACTCGCACGTGACCTCCCTTAGCAGCAAGATGGAGTGGGGTCATACCATATGATTTAGGGCCCCCTGCCATCACATTTGCATCCATGCCTTCATTAAGAAGTCTTCTAACCTGTCCCAGAAGAAAAAGAAATACACTCATATAAAATACGACACCTAGACCAACATGAAGATTGCGCATGACAGGATGGATGAAGAGAAAGAATCATTCTGTTACCGCACAAGAAACTTTATCAAAAAGAAAATTGAAACACACAAAAGTTTTGGAGAAAGAAAAGAATCTGTATCCGAGTTTTCTCCAAAAAGTATAGTATAACACAGGACTGTCTGTTAACTTTACCAATTAAAAGTTGTGAAGCAAATCCCAGACATTCTTTACTGTCATCAGAAATGCTCCTAGTAGTATTTGGTGGTGCAAATAGACATGCCTGGGTAAGGCTGGGTTTGGCATAATAGAAATCCAATGCTGCTATAAGATGGACGCATCTTTTACTAACAGAACCCGAAATAAGAACATTCTTTACTGTCATCAGAAATGCTCCTCGTAGTATTTGGTGGTGCAAATAGACATGCCTGGGTAAGGCTGCGTTTGGCATAATAGAAATCCAATGCTGCTATAAGATGGACGCATCTTTTACTAACAGAACCCGAAATAAGAACCTTCCATCACAGTTCACCAAGTCCCTCTCCCTCCCCTCTCCCCCTCCCCCTCAAAACTGCACTAAGATGGATGCATCTTTTACCTTCAATATAAATAAGAGAACCCAAAATAAGAACCTTCCATCACAGTTCACCAAGTCCCCCTTCCCCTCCCTCAGACCATGGAATCACACAGTCGGCCATGATTAGGTTGGTCGGCGAAATACCCTGCTTTGGAGGAGAGATAAGACGGCTTGGTTTTGAAACCAAATTGTTCGGACTTCGGATAATGAGGTTTTACTGGAGCGGCGGAGCTGTTGATTGCAATAGTCATTGATTTTGTGGATCATGACGCACTCCGTTTGTAACTAAAGCGAAAATCTGTGTGCTTTTCAGGGGAGGGAAAGAAAGAATTTACCTAATACCCCTTATTTTAATGTTTTGGCAGGGGCATTTCGATACAAAAGAAAAATGGAGACAATGCTAACCTACACAGGTACATAATAGGTTGACAAAATCCCGTACTAGCTGGGATCGTCCACACAAGTCCTCTACATATAGGTTGACTATTTTTGCATTGGCCATCACCCTCCTCTTCAATTAAACCTACAATACAATCAAAATGCTCCGATTGTTGGACATTTTTCCTAAATTATCATCTCCACAAATAGTCTAGTTAAGATAAAATTACAACTCATTAAGCTAACTAGGATGTATGCAACGATATCCCAGATATTTCGGGTTCTGTTAGTATTAACTAAATCTCATAGAATATATATTTGGCAAAATCTCTACACACTAACCAATTTCCCAATACCAAATCATAAGTAACATAAACGTTCATCTATCAAATAAAAATGAATTAATAACATCTGATACATTAATTATAAAGTACCTGTTTCAGGTCACCCTTCCGAGCAACAATGTGAAGAGGAGTCCAGCCGCGATCATCCGTATCGCCTGCAGTCATCTGCATCCTCCTCGACCGTCTAATTGAACCAACCCGATCCTCTTCCATTTTTCTCTCCCACTTTCTTACTAAACCAAGTTCCAATGGTCAAATTCTTATTTCCACAAACAGAACAAGTACCTAATGAAAGTAAACTCTTTTTCTTTTCTTTCTCACAAATCTTTTTTCGAGATAATCTTGAAAACCAATCAACAAGCCCAAAGATTGAACTTCTATCTCAGATACTCAAAATCAAGACCCTTTCCATAATTGAACCTAAAAGCACAACTAAAAATAGGATTTTTCAAACAAGATTGATCTCTTTTTTTTTTTTCAATTTCAAGAAAAACCCAGATATTTCTTCAGCAGACAAGACCCAAAAGAACTGATAATTTGCTCAAACACCCTTCAATTTACATGATTAAGGGAAAAAGAACCCGAGAATTTTGAAACTAATCAACAAGTCCAAAGACTAGATCTTAATACTCAAAATCAAGACCCTTTTACATAGTTGAACGCAAAGCACAGGAAAACTAACAAATTTGAAGGAAAAACAAAACTTTTTTTCCCAACAAGATTGATCTATCTTCCAATTTCAAGAAAATTCCAGAAAAGTTATAAGGGGTTTAGCGAGAGGAATGATTAGCCAAGTTGTAAGGACTGAAAGGGTTCAAACCAGGGCCAAAAACACGAAGATTTGTAAGTTTGTTAAACACATACGATGAAGTGAAACGACGAAAGGCAGAGATTATCATTATCAATTTATTAAACCACGCTACAAAAAAGATTTTCCTAAATAGAATAGGAAAAAGGGAAATTAAATGAATCCTAGAGGAATTTGGAATGAGTTTGGGGGTTGCATATGTGTTGATATTGGAGTTGTAGTGTTTGATTGGGGAGTTGAAGGAATTGGGGAATTGCGGAGGAAGAAAGAAACCCTAGAATTTCAAAGGATGGTAGAGAATGGACGGTATAGAATTTTGTTGGGGGTTTATATATGTAAGTTAAATAAGTGCATTTTGTGGTCCCTTTGAAAAAAGATTTGATGCCTTATTAGTCCAAGTTCTTTTTTGCGTCCAAACGCTTCTTTATTCTAGGAGCATACCCGAGTAATTTCACAAAGTTCGTGGAGAATAATATGCATGCTGACCTTACTCCTTCCTTGTGATAAAAAGGTTATTTTTGATAGATCCTCGATTCAAAAAAAACATAATCACAATATTTTTTTTTTTGGTGAAAGGGAATTTGCATATATAATTAGTAATATTAGTGCTGATTATTAGGGGGAAATTGGACCCCTCCTATGTCGGACAAAACAGTTCCAAATTGTCACTATAACAAATCAAATATTTCTAGTTACTTCAATTCCTAGGATGTCTACCCGAAAAAATTCATTTGCAAACATTGTTGTTCTTCCCAAAAAGTTTGTTTTTGCTCCTTTCTTTGAATGCATCCGCCACCCTATTCACAGTAGTTTTGAAAAAGAAATACGGTAGTGGAGAAGCCATAACAAGGGAAGTAGTAACAACAGCAAGATAATAAGATAACTGAAACAAAAGAAACAACATGCAGTAATACAAATCTAAGAAGGAAAATACAAGAATAATATTAATACTATTTGGTATGGAAAAGAAATACTAGCTACTAACCAGGGGCGGCTCAACGGTATTGGAGCGTAAAGCCAAACTTCAACGAGGGGCCCTAAGTTTTTCCATATTTAAAAACTCATTTAAGAAAATTTTATTTGAAGTTTATTTTTCTAGCTTTTTGAGATGTAAATTTTTTAATAATTTATTTATAATCGATTTCTTGACTAGGATAATACATGTACTTTCTAGGATTATTATTCAATTCTTTTAGGATTTTCTGATTTTCTAAAAGATCTATGTTAGACTTTCACCAACTTCTTCTTCTTCTTCTTCTTGGATTCCATTACCTTCTAGCTCAATTATATTAGTGATTTGTTCATCAAATTCTTCCCATTTTTGGGGATTGTATTAAAGTTTCAATTCTTCTATCTTTTTTTGGCATTTTTTAATATGCGGATCATATTTTCTTGTTGACATATTAAAATTCTAATAAATTATACTTAAAAACAAAGATATTAGAATATAATAAATTTTAGATGCAAAGTAATAAGAAAAGTATAGAGGAATTAAACATGATTTAACAAATAGTCATAGATAACTTGATATTACTTTTGCCGCTTCAATATTTTTGGTGCAGCCGGGAAAGCTTGACAAAAAAGAGTTTGCATTGTGTAACGACCCGACCGGTCGTTTTGATCTCTAGCGCTCCGTTCAGCAGCCTGAGGCCGTGAGCAGCTTCATTTCAGGTATTGTGACTTGTGCGCGTGGTCGGAATTGAATTTCGGGAAGTCCAGAGTTGATTTGGAAAGAGAATTCTCATTTCGGAAGCTTAAAGTTGAAAGAATGAACTAGGATTGGAATTTTGAGTAAACGACCTCAGAATCGGGATCTGAAGGTTCCAGCAGGTTCGTAGGATGATTTCGGACTTGGGCGTATGCCCGGTTCGGGTTTTGGATAACCCGGGAGCGTTTTGGCGCCTATTGTGGAAGTTAGCATTTTTGAAGAAATTTCTTAAGTTTGGCTTGAAGTGCATTTCAGTGTTATCGATGTCCGTTTGGGATTCCGAGTCCGAGAATAGCTCCGTATGGTGATTCTGGAGTTGGGAGCGCGATCGGAAGTGAATTCGGAGGTCCGTAGGTCATTTTGGAGCCATTTGGCTAAAGATAGAAATTTGAAGGTTTTTGAGAAGTTTGACCGGAAGTAGACTTTTTGATATCGAGGTCAGAATCCGATTTTGAAAGTTGCAGTAGGTCCGTAATGTCGAATATGACTTGTGTGCAAAATTTGAGGTCAATCGGACTTGATTTGATAGGTTTAAGCATCGAAAGTAGAAGTTGGAAGTTTTAAAGTTCATGAAGCTTGAATCGGGGTGTAATTCATGATTTTTGTGTGGTTTTATGTGATTTGAGGCCTCGAGCAAGTCCGTAATGTGTTTTGGGACTGGTTGGTATGATTGGTTGGGGTCCCGGGGGGCCTCGCATGGATTCCGGGTGGTTAACGGATCAAAATTGGGATTTTTGGACAGCTGAAGGATCTGGTTGCTGGTATTTTCGCTTCTGTGGTGGGTTAACCGCAGAAGCGGAAATGGAGCCGCAGAAGCGGTTTTTGGTCAAAGGCTTGAGGACCGCAGATGCGGTCAAGGTTTCGCATAAGCGGGAGCGCATCTGCGGAGAAGTGAGCGCAGAAGCGGAAGAGGGCATCATGGAGAGGACCGCAGATGCGGTCAAAGTTCCGCAGAAGCGGGACCACATCTGCAGAAGGCATGTCGCAGAAGCGAAGTAGGGCGGCCTAGGGAGGACCGCAGAAGCGGTAATTTAACCGCACCCGTGGAACTGCAGAAGCGGTCAAGGGACAGCAGGTGCGAAAATAGCTGGAGGCAGAAGGTTGTTTTAAATCGGGATTTGGCCATTTCTCTCATATTTTTCATGGCTTGGGCGATTTTTGGGGAGCTTCAAGAGAGGATTTTCGTCATCAACATTAAGGTAAGTTATCCCCACCTATTTTGAGTTAAATACATCAACTATGTATGGATTTGAGCATTTAAATTAGTATAAATTTGAGGTCTTTGTGGAAAACCTAGAAAATTAGTAAACTTGGAATTTAGCCACGATATTGAGTACGGAATTTAGTAAAAATTATATATTTGAGTCCCTAAGGTCGTGGATAATCTTTATTTTCGAAAAATTTCGGATTTCGGGCACGTGGGCCCGAGGGCGTTTTGGTCAACTTTTCAATCGGAGTTAGGAATTGCTATAAATTAGATTGTAATGAACAATTGAGCATATATTAATGGATTTGCATAACCGTTGGCTAGTTTTGGAGCGTGGTGCATCAATTGGATTCTTCGGAAGGGCGTGGAATGCCGGTTATGGATCTTCGGAGCGAGGTGAGTCTCCTTTCTAACCTTGTGAGAGGAAAATATCCCCATAGGTGAATTAATTGGATATTTGCTCCTATTTGTGGGGGCTACGTACGCACGAGGTGACGAGAGTCCGTGCGTAGCTACTATTATGGTATTGTCCGGGTAGTCTAGGACCCAAAAGCATGCTATACTTTGAATATTTGTAATCTTATGAATAGTTGAAATGCTTAAACCACCTCAAAATAGTAAATGAATTCCTAACAAGATGTAAACCTCATTTTCTTAAATTGTTAAAAGAGAATTAGCTTTTCTTTGAATAATTGCCCCATGTTGGCTCCTCGATTGAGTGTCTCTATGTGTTTATTTTGGAACGGGCCGAACGCCTCGGCGGATTAAATAGATGCATCTATAGGCGCGTTGTCGACCCTCGGCAAGTGCACAGTTTATTTCTGTTGGATCGGGCCGTCGCCTCGGCATGATGTGCGCATGCTTGTATTGCTGCCTTGAGCTTAATTACGTTATTATTGCCTCTTCATGGCTTGAAGTTATTTGGATAATTACGAAAAGAAATCTTGGAAATTTTCTATAAAAGAATTAATTGTTTACTTGTTTCCTTCTATTTGGACTAAAGTCGTGTTTGTAGAAATCCATAATTTAATGTATTACTGACCTCACTATTGGACCATTAGTAAGTGTCGAAGTCGACCATCTCGTCTCTACTTCTTCGAGGTTAGGCTGGATACTCATTGAGTACACGTTGTTTTCGTACTCATACTACACTTTTGTGCATTTTTATTGCACAGGTATATGTAACTCTTGTGGCCTACTGGGCATAGCAGCACGGATGATTTGGGGGCTAGGTTAGTTACATTATTCGAGGCGGCCCGCAGCTAGTATAGCCCTTTTCAGTACATTGTATTTATTTCCTGTCCACTGTATTCCGGACGGATGTTGTATTTTATTTCCTTATCAGTAGATGCTCATGCACTTGCGACACCGGGTTCTGGGATGGTTGTAAGATTGTTAAATATCTACTTGGTTAAAGACATTATTCTTATTTCAACGAATTCCATTACTTGTTGTCTAAATGTGTAAAAGGAACGATTCCCTTAAGTTTAAGACAAGAAGTTTCTAGTTATTGGTTGTTGGCTTGCCTGACAATGGTGTCCGGCGCCATCACGATCCTTAGTGGATTTTGGGTCGTGACAATATGGTATCAGAGCACTAGGTTCCTAGGGTCTCACGAGCCATGAGCAAGTGTAGTAGAGTCTCGCGGATCGGTACGGAGACGTCTGTACTTATCCTCGGGAGGCTGCAGGACTGTTAGGAGTACTTCCCTTCTTGATTCCTTATAGTGCGATTTGATCCTTGGAGGTGTATGCCTTTAGTTCGTTCCTACTCAATCTTACGCGACGCAAAGCGCTTGTTATAAATCGAGAATTGAGGAATTGTAACGGTACTACGGATGTGGTGCGGGATGTTTCTCCCGGTGTAGTTGATTTGATTATTATCGTCGCCTTATGGAAGGATATTTTAATGTTTCAGCTTAGTAACGGTACTTCTGAGGGCTTTGGGGCTAGGCACAAGTTGGCATAATGCCTATGAATGACTGTTCCGCAGTAGTGATATGATGGTAGGATATTTGCCCATGTGTCGAGGCAGTGAATGACTTGAAGGGAGGTTTACTCAGTGCTTAATCAAGAGATTCAGTATTTTATTCCCGGCAGGGGAAAGGCAAGCGGACTAAGGATGGTCAGCTGTGGGCTGGTGGAAGTAATGAGACTTGGTATTTGCAAGCGTGGTGGAGTTTTCTTCTATGATGGGGTGTCGTTGTCCTAATTGAACGTACTAAGTTTGTCGGTGTTATGATCTGCTACAATTCGCCTTTGGGGCAAGATATTGTGAAATAGAATTGGAGATACAACTGTCAGATATTGCAGGGTGCGGAGGTTCAGTATTGAATCAGTATTTCTAATGTTGACGGTTCGATAAAAATGACCTTCGGAAAGGTTTAAAGTTAGCAGCAA